TTGTCAAAGGGCAACATTGCTCTTACGCATGCAGATTCCTAAGAATCTATTCATACAAACTAACACTCTGTTGAATGCAGCAGGTACGGAGTCCATAATGGACATTGAAATGGAAGCAAATGGACATCGTGGGGCCCTTAATGGTGCAGCCCCAGAAATTCAGCATGAAAAACAACGAACATCAAATTCCAAATGGAGGAACCCCCAAGAAAGATAATAGCAATTGCTCAGCCTCAAATCATAAAAATTGCATGGGGCATTTCAGAAGTTGAGCATAGTGGATTGGTACTTTGCATACTAGCATTGCAGCAGATTGAAAACATTGTGCAACATCAATAGCAATGTGATTGCCTAGCCTTGATCCTGATCAGTTTCTTTTGTTTAGCCAAAAAATTAGATATTGGAGGAATACACAAATCGTGGCTTGCTGTTTTTCGTGTTTTAGTCAGTTCCCTTGCTTTTAATAGGCTGTCTGAATCAATCTATTTGATAAACTAAATTGTTCTAAAAAAAATCACTACAGCACAAAATTTCCGTAGTGAGTTGATATCTTGCCTGGCATACCCACCTGTATGTTAAATTGCTACTTCTTTATATAATTCTATGTCATTGGATTAGTTGCATACTGGAAATTAGTGGGAAACAAGCAGGAAGTTGTGAAGGCTGTTAATCACATGGAGTTCCTGCCAACAAGAGAGGTAGATTTGTTGCTTTGCTAAATGAGGATACAGTTGATCATGGGAAGATGTGGTATGTGGATACATTGATATTGAGAACAGTTTGCCAAGAACTTCTGTAAGAAATGCTTAAATGCTGCTACATTATTATTTCTTTGTAAGAGAAATTCACTGTGAAAAATGATGAAAGACATATAGCACATCAATTCTTTTTGCTTGAATCGTTCTTCATTAGTTTAAATAAGATCAGGTTTGTTTGCAAGATTAATGTCTGGCCTGCCATGTTTATTGGTTGGATCTATTTTAGATAAATGCCAGAACTCTAGCTTTGGTTGCTGGGATTGGAGTTTGGAAAGATGTGTCTTACCAGTTTCATCTGTGAGCCAGTAGTGATTGACAAAAATAGTAAGTCATAAGAAATTGAAAATTGGGCGGGGGGACTGGACAGTTAACTGAGCAGAAACTGGAACCTGTGATGAATAAAAATAAATAGTTGGATTGGAGGTTTCTTTTTAAGCACTGGAAGTCTTGATTCTCAGTTTTCTCTCCTAAGAAAGTGGAATAAAGTAAGTAAGTTATATTCAACTTTTCAGTTCAGAGAAATGTAAACCTATCCTTGCCAGATACATAGAAAATGAATTTCTTTTCGTGTTATAAGAGAGCAGGTATTATTATTATTTTTACAGGGAAATAAAACCAGTAGCATTTCATTTGGAACACCAGGATATAGAATAAATAATCTGTTGTCCTGCAGAGAAAATGGCTAGTCTTCCATTAACCAAGACTGCACAAAAGGATGAAATACAGATTTGTATCAAGGAAACAAAAGAGTCCCTCTCATTTCCACTGTTGTGATGAAAAACATTTTGTTAGCAGATCATAAGTAAGCATTTATGTATTTTAATTTATCCTTTTCTGTGGAGAAAACACAAAGGGAAAATTACCCTTTACTGCTTGATAGTTGGTTAGTGGAAATAATTTTGCTAGTGTGTAATGATTATGAATCATATCTTCTCATCTCAGCCTTACAGATGGCAACTGAACTGTGTGTTTTAACTGGTAGTTTTCGATCAGTGTTAATGGTTTAACATAAAAGTAACAGAATTTTGTAATGAGATAATATCAGCCCAATATAAATGACACCACTAAGTCTGAAATTCTACAAATTATCCTTGGAATAAGTTATTATAAATTCAGTGGATCTAATTCTGTGATATGTATGAGAAACTATTATAAGGATACTAGCCAGTTGATCATTTAAATACATTTTTGGAATATATTAAAATATGCAGTATTTAACTTGATAAATTGCTTGTTTAAATTATAGAGGTAATGAAGAAGACATGCATCCAACCAAGATGATGAAAAAGAAATATGGTACACTTATACTTTATTTCAAAATCTCACTCGTTTCCTAAGAAGACATTGAACAGCAGAAATGACAAGTGCACATTGTGCACACATTAGATAACGCTACTATACAAATAAAACACATAGAAATCAGTATGGGGAAATGTAAAATGTTAATAAATAAGTAACTAGTAAAGGACTAGAAAAGGAGTATACAGTGTGGTAATTGTTTTGGAAATAATAAGAAACGTAAGGGGGGAAAATCTAAAAATTAAAACAAATATGGGGAAAATATTTTCCTGTTTTCATATAGGAGAGGCCTAGGCATTCTTTAAGATCCTTGAAGTATTATTTTAGGCACCAAAAAGCGTAGTGGTGGAAACATTGTCTTACCAGTTCTTCTTTATATAGAATGTTTAACTTAATATTTCCCCATCGTGATAACTTAATAATATATAATAACTTAGTTATAAATTATTATATTATATTATGCATAAGTGACTAAATGTGCTCTACCATTCCTCCAACTGCTGTGCTAACAGGATGTTGTGTTTTACAATCTGGTACATTCCTGCATAATTTATCTTCTAGTAACTACACAAATAATTCTAACATGTTCAGGCAGATATAGGTAGTCCCCGAGTTATGTCAGTTCACTTAGCGGCCATTTGAAGTTATGCAATAAATGCTCCCTAGTGTTTACAAACAAGTCCCAAAATTAACTAATGTTGCAGCACCATGGCAATTGTTCCCCTTACAAACGACCGCAGTGGCTCTCCAACATTCACACTGTTCCTCCCCAGCTCACCACAACTGCTTCCCCCTCCCATCCTGCCGTGCCAGACTCACTTACCTTGCAAAGATCTGTCACCTCTCTGCCGTGGTTTCTTTGCCTTTGAGGGAAAGGAGAGTCAGCTTGTAAATGCTTTTCGCGCCCGAGAGTGAAAGGTTCTGAGGGCTGCAATCTCACGTGACTTCAGGCACCCATTCTGATGTGTGCTTGAAGTCACGTGAGATCATGGCCCTCAGAACATTTAACTCCTGGCACGAAAAGCATTTGCAAGCCGATTGTGTTGCTCCCAATGTCCGGCCAGCTTGCAAATGCTTTTCACACTGTGAGTGAAAGGTTCTGGGTGCTGTGATCTCACGGGACCTCAGGCCGCAAGATCACGTGCCGAGAAGCTTCCAGTCTCCAGGCAAAATGTTTGCAAGCTGACAGGAGGTGTTGGGTCAGCAAAATCACTGCCTCAAAGCGTCCGGCCAGTTTGCAAACACTTTGGGCGCCAAGACTGGAAGCTTCTGGGTGTCATGATCTTGCGGCCTGAAGTCCCGTGAGATCACAGCACCCAGAACCTTTCACTCGCAGCGCGAAAAGCATTTGCAAGCTGGCAAGATGCTTTGAGGCAGTGATTTTGCTGACCCAAATCCTCCTGTCAGGTTGCAAACAGTTTGGGTAGAGACTGGAAGCTTCTGGGCACCATGATCTTGTGCGGCAGAGAGGCTGGGGAGGAGACACCTGGAGAGGAGACAGCTCGCTAGGTCTTTGCAAGGTAAGTGACCCAGCACGGCAGGATGGGGGTGGGAAGCAATTGTGGGGAGCATGAGGTATCTCAGTGGGTCAGGGGAGGCCTTGGGTGGTCTTAAGCAGGTGGTCTATTCCATCACTAGGCCCCCCATGGCCTTCCCCACGCTGAGATACCTCATGTTCACTTAACGACCCGTGCATTTGATTAGAGAATGCATGGGCGAAAGCAGGGAGTGATGGCGTTCAAGGTATGCAACTCACTCCTACGAATCCTTGAGTTATAAATGGAATTCATAACTCGAGGACTACCTGTATAAGGAAGATGCAAATTTGCTGGCCTTTGAACTCTGTCTATGAACTCTTCCTAGCTATACCCCAGCCTTCCAAAGCTGAAACCCTTGATTAGCCTGGCCCCAGGATACTTGCATTATTTAGTCAAGCCTGCTTAATGTCCTAGGTGACAAAGGTGAGAGTGGGAAACTGTTCAACTTGAATAAATTGAACACTGTATGCACCTGTCTCTATGTCTGACAGTGAACAAAATCGAGGGTCGTGTGTCACCCCTCCCGACTTCCCAGATGCACTTTTGAAATAAGGGACTAGACAGTTACTCTTCCATATTTTAAATATAAACTTACAATGTACAATATAAGATAGCATGCAATAAACACAATTAGCATTAAATTAATATTTAAATTGTATCGATATAATTAAACTCAACAAACAGTAATTATCTTATGTAGGTATGGATGTAGAAGAACTCTGCTCAGAAAGCCAATCATCAGGAATAACATTTATTTAAAAATTTCTGTGTAGTGCCTAAAAAGGGTTGAAAACACCAGAGAGGTGTTGTCTATATATTGCATTTTTGTAATTGCCTTGAGTCACATGAAGGCAATTTACAAATTTTTGTGTGTATAAATACATGGAAGTGTCAACATAGTCATCACCCTCTATCCAGTTGCTAGCCAAGTAATTCCCAAAGATGCAATTCTCTGAGGGCCTCAGGTAAAGATTTTAGTGTGCTAAACCTATGGGAGAAGAATCTTCTAGGGTTGTTCAAGATGGCTGAGTAGAGCCTGAGATAAGTGGACCAAAAGGAGATTTCAGCAATTACACTTAAGTTATGCTCTTATCTTTCTACTGTTTATAGGTGCTTTCTGGTAGGACATGAGAATCTATTGTAGCTAATGTTACTTCAGAGTATTTTATCATGTTTTACAGGAAAATCCAGTTTCTGTAAAGAATTCTTGCTGAACCACCAATACTTCTTCATTCAGGAAGAAAAAGCTGACGGCAACTATTACACATGACAACATTTACAAATGAAAGCTGTTTCAAGCTCCTGAAGTGAAATGCCCATGGCAATGAAAACTATATTGATTCTGTCTCCAGCAGGATAGAGAAATACCTGCAAGAATCTTTCCAGAGATACGTCTTTGTCTTTTGTTTTATTAAAATACTCCCAAAGATATAGGTCTCTTGACTACAAATAAAATGGAGGCCTTAGAAGTCGATGACATCAGTCCAGCCTTGGAAGTGACGGAAGACTTCTTCAGTACCTTTGATGCTAAGCTGGAAAATGTGCAGCCCCTGGAAGTTTATGGCATTCAGGAGATTCCTGAACTGGTTGGATGTGACGCATTTAATAAAATCACAGCCTGTGGAGATTTAAGGAACATTACTTCTTTAGGGAAGAATAACCTTGTTTGGGCACACTGCAAAAATGGAGTTTCAGAAACCAAAGTAGAGGCTGCATTTCCTACCAAAGAACAGTTTAGAGTGCAAAGGGGAATGGTGCCAGACAATCTCTCCTGGGCTGAACAGGGAGACACTTCAGCTCTTAATATCTTTAACATCTGCCAGAAGAGGAAGAATCGGCCCCGTTCTGTGAATGATGTTATAGTCCAAAATGAAGAAACTTCCTCTTTCAAGCCAGGCCATAACCGGTCACATTCTGATATTAGTCACATAAATTGGGGCCTCATCTTTAATAATGCCTCTCCACAACAGCTGTCTAATCAGGCGAGCCAGTGCTCTAAACATTCATTTACACCAACTGGATTCAAAAAGGGAAAAGATGTTCCAGGGAATACTGGTAAGTATTAATATTTGGCTCCAACTCTCCAGCTCCCAGAATTCTCCAGCCAGCATGGGGAATTCCACAAGCATGGCTGGTTGGGGAAATCAGGAAGTTGAAGTCCACAGGTCCCAATTCTGGGAGTTAAAGTCCACAAGTCTTAAAAGTTGCCACGGTTGGACACTCCTTGTTGAGGAGTTTACAGCACCGATTTCTGGATTCAGTTTCCAATTCCACTCTACTTCACTGTGTATTCTTTAAATGAAAGAAGCAAGGGATATGAATAGATGTTGAAGAATACGCTGAGAAAGGAGTCATTGTCAGAATCTTACATTATAAATGATAGTAGATGAGGATATTTGTGCAAAGCTTCCATACTCAATCCAATAAAACTGCAGACACCACCTCTGTAGAGTATTTTAGTTCGTGTATATATTTTGTGACATATGAAAATTATTTTTATTGATTGATTTTATTTATTAAATTTATATGCTGCCCATCTCACTCTGCAAACCGTCTAAAGGCAAAAAGAAAATACCTGGATTGTTTTTGTTTGTTGTTATTTTCATTCTCAATTTCTTCCAAGTGGCCAAATAGTTAACATTCTGGGAAGATCAGTTTGCTTTATGCTTCCTTCCAAACTTTCTGGATTGTTGTTGTTTGGAAATTCTTGCTATTATAGCAAATTCCTGGTAGTAAAAACTCAGCAGTATTAAACCGAGGGAGTAATGAGTCAAGAAACCTCTCAGATGGTTCACTAATGCATTAAGAAAAAAAATGCTGTCAATGCATGCTCATTCTAGATGTGATATTTGATGTCTTAGTCCTAATTTCTTTTATATGACAGAAAATTTCCTTTAAAATTATAGGCGGGAGGGTTCCTTTATTTAAAGGTCTTCTCAATTGTTTATTTGCCTAACACCCAAGTTAGCCAATATCTTTGACTACTTATGGACATGTTTAAGGATTCTGGAGAAATCAATGCCTTTTATTTATTTAATTAAATGCCAATTGGTCCTAATACCTAAGTAAAACCTCCATGTTTAGGGACATTGTACCTCTAAATATGTGGTGCTCAGGTGGGTAAAGAATGAGGAAGTATTATTGCTTTCTTGCTTCTTCATTTTGGAAACAACTAACTGGTAACAGCTGTAAATGGTTTGCTAAATTAGATGGACCTTTGGAGTGATTTAATAAAGTAATTTCACTATCATATGCAGACAATAACACTACCAAAAGATTGTGGACCATGAGAAATGGAACCCAAGTTTTGCTTGCAGTATGATCTTTGCTTCTATTACCTGGAGAGGTTGTTAGAATACAAAGAAAGAGAGATCTTAACTACTCTCAGCGAGCATTTCTGATATATAACATACATTACAAAAATTGTAATGAGACATAATAAAGAAAAGGGATATAATCTGTAGAGAGAAAATTCTTACCCTGCTCTTTTCTCTGATGTTTCCTCCTTTGGGACTTGTTTGTAGAAATTACATTAAAAAAAAAAAAAGCTACCCCAGATGTGGGCAATTTAATGTGATTATGTCCTATTTACTTTCATGGGCTTTGATTTGCTCTGCCTCAATTGAATTTCCTTGTTCGGTGAAAGTAAAGAGAAATTTTGTTTCCCTTTTAGAAGCTGGGGAGAAAGCACTCTGTGAAAAGGTATTATGTAGCTTTGGTGCATAAGGCAGGTGAGGTGGAACAGGGGATGTCTGAGGGAAGGCAATGGTCAGGGAGCTGTGATCTGGCCAGCTTGTGCCAGCAACTGCTGCTCCAAAGAGTGTGCTGGATATGCATGTTAATCAAGTCATTCCTCACTATTGTTCCTGTTGAAGTGGGAAGCCAGTTCACAGTAGCTTGAGAGACAGTTAGTAGAAAGAATGACTGGCTGTAGAAGATTGGGCGGGAGGGGGGTGTGTGGATGGGAGGAGAGGGAGCTTTTGTCTTGCTTAACAAAAGACAAGCAAATCTCTGAGACAGTTTAAGGCAAGCAAGGAGGAGAAAACAAGGATGGATGTGGCATGAAAACTAGCAGAACCTGAAGTGTCTTTTGTGCTTGATAGAAATTAGAACAACTGATGGAGTTGTAGTTGGATCTGCAGTAGCCATGCGGTTTCTCTTATTGGGTTAACAGAAAAGGAAGATGACAGTAGAATGTGTGCCCATTATCTACACTACAAAGGGGTGAGGGAGGGGGAGGCTCAAAGAATTAATGAGTTCTGAGTTAACACAGAAATTCTAATAAATCCTAGAACCAGAGATGGAAGGCAAATAAAATTGGTTTCTACTTATACTGTATCCTTTTGTCTCATCGACACCTCTTTCCTTCAAATTTAAATTGAATTTAGTTTCTTTGTTGTCTGCAAATGAAATAAAACCTCTCTTTTTAGGTTTTTTTCAGGGAGGATAAAATACATGTTGGCAGAGCAGTCTTTTATTACTTGCTTTAGTTCAGTGTGATAGGAGAAACATATGGTGCCGTGTATTGGAATAGTTATCAGATTCAGTGGCCGAGGTTGGGGTAAAATGCACAAATTGAAAATGCAGACACATCATTAAAAATATTTCTGAAAACTATAGAGGAGGTTCATTAAATTCTACAGCTGGATGGTACCCATTACGCCAGTGTTTCTCAACCTCAGCAACATAATAGTAATAGTAGTAATAGTAGTAGTAGTAGTAGTAGTAGTAATAATAATAATAATAATAATAATAATAATAATAATAATAATAATAATAATAATAATAATAATAATAATAATAATAAAAATTGGAAGGGACCTTGGAGGTCATCGAGTCCAACCCCCTGCTCAGGCAGGAAACCCTACACCATTTCGGACAAATGGCTGTCCAGTCTCTTCTTAAAAGCTTCCAGTGTTGGAGCATTCACCGCTTCTGGAGGCAGGTTGTTCCATTTGTTAATTGTTAATTCCATTGGTTAATTAACTTTACGTTGTGTGAACCTCAGCTCCCAGAATTCCCCAGCTTGCACCCATTCTGTTCAAAAATCTAAATGAAAGCTTCCAGGCAGATGGCTTTTAGTCTTTTTTAGGCACATAGCACAGTAAAGGGGAGCTCAACATCTTTTTGCTGTTTGGTTCCACCATCAAACTGCTGCTGTTACAGTTAGGATTTTTTTTTCTATTGGTCAGAATCTGCCTTCCTATGACTTAAATACCTTATTGCCTAAGAGGTGTTGGCTTTCGTCTATGTGACATTTCAGTTAAAGAATGCCATTATATTCCCCCCCCCTATACCCATGCTTCTCTTCTCAAGGCTAAAATTACAAACTCCTTCCAACTCTCTTCATAGGACTAGTTTCTAGTCCCCTGATCATCCTTGCCACCAGCCCAGGACCACCTGTACTCTTCTCTCACATAGTACCAATTAAGACATTTCTCAGCATATTTTGCATCACCACTGCCAGACATTTGCCATTTTTAAAAACAATTTCCAGAAAGTGCTCTTCCAGAAAGAATATCAAGCAGTCCTGTACATGTTTACTAAATCCCATGGTGATCAGTGGTTTAGCAAATGCCGCTTAGTGGTTTAGCAAATGCCGCTTAGGATTATGGAGTTTACAGTAGTAAGAAATGATCACAGCTTAAATGTAAATAATTTTAATTTACATGGCATGAGGTGTAATTCACAGTGACAAAGAGGTTCATCTTCCTATTGAACTTTTACAAATTCTGTGAGAATATATGAAAATATTAGAATAATAAAAAATATCCTTTTGCCCAATGATTGTAGAAACAAGTTGCTTGGACAATTTAAGAGTATTTTTTTAATTTTGTGTGTTTATATCTGTGTATATATACACACAGTAACAATACTCTTATAGATATGGAAGAACGAGTGAGAGAGGTAGTTTGGGAAGTGGCTCTGAAGATGATCTTAAAAGTACTTATGGGAGAAGGAAGTCATGCACATCATGTTCCGAGCCATTTAGGGATGTCCAGTTTAATAGCATTTTGAATTGGGTCTAGTAGTAGTCTGGAAGCTAGAGCAGATGGCAAAGAATAGGCATAATATGATAATTTCTGCCAGCTCCCATTAAGATACCTTGCTGCCTATTTTGGATCAGTTGTTTCAAGATCCTTTGTAAGAGCAGCTACCTTTAATTCAAGTAAAAGGTTATCAAGGTGTAAGTTTGTAGCTCTAAATTATCTTTGTGAAGAGGAGTGTTGTAAACCTAACCAACCTCAGTTAATAAAAGATGCCCAGCCACTATGATTTCCTAAGCCAGTAATGAACAACTTTTACTGGTCAACTTAAGCATTATAGAGATGTTTTAAAACATTTATAATTACCTTTGTTCAAACTCTTTTCTAGAACACAAGCCTACATATTCAAATATCTTGAAGAAAGGGTATGTAGAAATTAAGAACAACCATGGCAGTTACTGGCAGGCTTTTTATGCAGAACTCTCTCCATATGAACTTTATCTGTATCAGCTTGACAAAAGCGGCAACCGGAACCTTCCAACAGTTTATCTGCTTTTGCACTTCCAAAGCATCAATGTGGAAACCAGTGTAGTTGATGCAGTCTTGTTCAATAATTTGCACCTGCAACTCAAAGCAGAATCACCTTGGGAAGCTTTGGACTGGGGGCAAAAACTTCGGCAAGCTGTTCACTCTTCCGTTCCATCGTTTCTGAGGCCAAAAGGAGACTTGGTGAACTCACGGAAGTTAGATAATGCTGAGAGCAGCCTCATTCAAAACCATGGTTTACAGAAGGAACCTGCTGAATTGTTCCAGTTGACATCTTTGACCCCAAACATCAAGGATTACCAAAGCATTGTCAAATCAGGGATTCTTTACAGATTGACTCTCCAGAATAACTGGAAAGCGTTCCATTTTGTACTCAGTGGGTCTCTTCTCATGGCATTTCAGATTGGTGGGCTTGATGAGGACCCTCTGTGGAGCTACAATATTGAGGCATGCATCTCTGTTCAAACTGATATTCTGGATGATTGTGACTCTTGCTTTCAAGTGATCTTTCCTCAAGATGTGCTTCGTCTCCGTGCAGAAACCCTTCAAAGAGCTCAGGAATGGATGGAGGCTTTGAAGGCTGCAACCAGAGCAGCGAGTTTAGGGCAAAACCTGCAGGTTACACTTAGAAACAAAGTTCAAGGCTTATCTTGTGGAAAAGAACATAGGAAGACCAAGCGCCAGTCTGTCACCACCAGTTTTCTGAGCATTTTAACTACCTTGTCCTTGGAAAGAGGCCTGACTGCTCAGAGTTTCAAGTGTGCAGGTAAGTAATATAAAAGAAGATGTTTTGTTGTTCCCAAACCTCTTCACTAATATATCTTTAGACTGCATAAGAGTGTCTCAATTTGGTATTTTTGGTGTAGCACATAACTTGGTTGTTGGTTCTGTTTGCAAATCGAGAGTTGGGATAATTTGAAACTCCACAGGCACTTTTTCCAAGGGTTCCCTGATAAATATTAATTGTGGTAAATTGCCACCAGTCAGTCTGAATTTGCTGATACACCCTGGCCAATGCATCTGGGAATTCTTAAAATTTTCTCTTTAGCTATTATAAAGAAAATGCTTTGTTTTATCTGGTCAAAATCAAGAATTGTGCTTGTTATGAAATACAAAGGGCAGCAACTCAGATTTCTAAATATAAAAAAACTAAAGACAAAAAAAAATAAAGCAATAATCACAGAATTTCAATGAAAAATTATTTATCTTTCACATTTCTGAACATCCCATCTTCCTCCAAAAGTGAGCAGTGTACTATGAAACATCAAAATATAAAAACAGTATATAAATTAAAATATTACAACTAAAATTTCAAAAAGAGGCAAGAATAATAAAACCCTGTTAAAATTAATTTTAAAAGTTGAAGGGAGAGCTCTCGTGGCACCAACCAGCCCCCCACGATCGCTTGCTCTTTTGGGCTTCACAGAGCTGTGTTTTAACTCCTTTTCTGAAGGCCAGGAGAGCCGGGGCCCACCCCTCCCTCCTGGGGGAGAATATTCCACAGGGCAGGAGCAACGGAGAGAAGGCTCTTTTCCTAGGCCTCGCCAGTCAGGGTTCTTTAACTGATAGGGTCTGCAGCATACCTTCATCCCCTTACAAGAATCTGGATGACCACAAGATGGTAGCAAAAGTAAGTAGTCTTTGTATTTCATGTAGTAGTCAACCAGATTTTCCCAGCCCAGGTATGATATAACTCTATTGTGCCCATCTGGTTTATGAATAGCTTTTTATAGAAGAAAAGGTAGATTTCTTTGCTCTTATATATAACATTTTGCCAACTTTGTTGTCTTTTGATTTTACAAATATTTCAATGTATTTAGTACACACAGAGTCATCCAACATCCAGTTACAATGAATTATTTGAATAAAACTTTTCTTTGGCCTTGCAACTTTTTATGAATCAATCTGTTGAAAGTAAAATACCGTATTTTTCCATCTATAAGACGCACCCTTGTATAAGATGCTCTGGCATGCAAGTGTTTCCATGCCGATCAGCTGTTCGGCACGGTGCCGAACAGCTGAGCCGGCAAATCCGGAGGTTCGGCTGGCCGACGATCTTACCCCCTTTCCCCTCCCGTTAGTGGCAAGCCCACAGGGGCTTGACACCTGCACTAGGCGGCATGTAAAGAACCCACACAAGCATGCCCTGGGCTGCAGAGGTTACCATTATTTTTTCGTGTATAAGACGCTGCACTTGTATAAGACGCACCTGATTTTTGAACAGGGTGTTTGCAGGAACAAATAGCGTCTTATACATGGAAAAATACGGTAATAGATTACCGCTAATACTAATAGAAAATTTCTTCAAATTAGAGAAAAACAGTCTGTGAGCTAGACACGTAAATGAGTGGAAGTTCTGTTATCCTCTTTCTGTTAGTTTTTTTTACATAGTTTGACTAGAGCAACAGTCCCCAACTTTTCCAGCTTTTCAGACCGGGGGGGGGGGAGGATGGAGAGGAAATGGTTCCACATGAGCTGCAGGCAAGCGCACACAGCTCCATTTGTGCTCACCACTCACACAAATGGAACCTCATGCATGCATGCCAGTACCCACTACTCGTACAAATGGAGCTGTGCGTGCTCGCCCGCTGCTCACGCGGCCCAGTCCCCTGCGGCTGGGGATCCCTGGACTGGAACACAAGAGCAGAGATTCTCACCTTTCCCATTAACATTTTTTGGGGAAGATTGCAAATGGCAATCATGTTAATAGACGATGCTGCAATTGTTATAAATGTGTGACAATTGCCTAGCATAGAATCGCAATCTTCCCCCTGGTTGGGCCAGTCTCTCTCTTGACTACATTACACCTCTTTCTACAATCAATTTACTTCCAGGTGCAATTCAAGGTCCTGATTTTGATGTTTAAAGCCCTACATAGTGTGGGAACAGGTTTTTTGAGGGATGGCCTCTTCCCAGATACATCTACCCATCCCATCACGTCAGGCAGGAAGAGTATTCTACAGGTTCCATTCCCAAAAGAGCTCCATTTGGCAGGACGCAGGCAGCCTTCTTTTTCTGCTATGGCCTCTGTGCTCTGGAACATCATTCCCCTGAGGTGAGGTTAGCCCCATCTCTTATTAGCGTTGTGGTTTGAAAGAGGGCTAAAAGAGGCCATCTATGTTAAAATTAAACAGTCCTCTCTCAACAGAGTGGGAGGGATAGACACCACCTATCTCCTGTTTACAACATAGTCCTTTCTAGCACTTCCAAGAACATTTCACATTCATTTGCACTGTGATTCAGGTGACCCAGAGGGCACAAATAAACCCCCAATTGGCCTCAACTACTCTCAGAGAGCTAATGACTGACCTTCAGAGTGCTAAAGACCAAATGACTGCAAGGAATACCATGTTTCCCTGAAAATAAGACCCAACCAGAAAATAAGGCGTAGCATGATTTTCAGGATTGCTCCTAATAAAAGCCCCACTCCAAAAATAAGCCCCAGTTAAGATGGTCAGCCAGACGGATGCATTTAGTACCGTATTTCCCCGAAAATAAGACTAACCGGAAAATAAGCCCTAATGCGTCATTTGGAGCAAAAAATAATATAAGACCTGGTCTTATTTTCAGGGAAACACAGTATGAATCCTTCCATTCCCACCATTCAGTCAAGAAGCTTCTTGGATGAGAAACAAAATGTCTTCAAGGAAAAATAAAGTCCATTTCCCTTTTGTAAAAGCACGTTTGGGATTTCCAGAAGACCTTAAAACATTGTTTTTTCGCCAGTTTTTGAAATCCAGAGCTTTCAAGATGACTATGAGATTAAATGATTTTGTTCTCTCACTTTCTGGAGTTTTATTTGTTTATTTTATAACAAAATATTTTGTTATAAAATAAAATATTTGTTATAAAATAATTGTATTTGTTTACATGTGTTTTTTTTATAATTTTAGACTTTTGTAGAGTTTTTAACTGTTGTATATATCATGCAGGGTCACCAGTTTGTGAGATGGGCAGCTGTATAAATATGCTAAATAACTACATAATAGAGCCCCGAATGTCATTTTGATCCTCCTGATATAATCCTGGATAAGTAGACAAATTACATTAGTATTTTGAGGTTTGATTTAAAGAAATCTGAACCTTTGAATAGGAAGTTAAGATAGATATTGAGTAGAAATTTGAGGATGAAGTACTAATGCTGCACTTTATGTCTAGAAATGTAAGGAATTGCTATTTCCAGCAGGGGGCTATATCAGGAGATTGTCTTGCTTGTAAGAGCGACCAAAGTTTGATACATGCATATAACACATACATATGCGCATCTACACACATGCACACACACACATAAGTTAAGAAAGCCAATGTACTTATTAGTGGAGCCTGAAAGATAAATTAGGCATTTATATTAATTGAAAAACAATACTTAGCTACTAAATAACTTTTGTGTGGAGAAATGAAGAATGCTATTTTTTCATATGCTAGATTTTATTTAAGGATACACATAAATTAATTCCTATAGAAATATAAAATGTGCTTATTTTAATAAAGTGGGATAAAGATTATAATGTTAGGCTGCAACTAAGCATTCCTAGGAGCCTTTAGTCCCCTTATTTAAAAGGGGGGATTTCCTTCTGCATCTTTTTCAGAGGGAAAATGTATTGCACGGAATTCAAGGGTGAGAGGCTGACTTGTCAGTGGTTGGTGGGACTGTTCTGCTTCTTTAAGAAAGCCCTCTTAAAGGGCTTCCAGTTTCTTGTTTTCTTTGTTAGGAAACTATAACCTGACCATGCCAGGTGGTTTGATCAATTAATAAGTTTGAAGCGAGGAAAGGGGAGGAAGAAAGTCTCATTCCATTGCAAGAATGTAGTTGTAATGGCTATTACAACAACAATAGACAAACTAGCCTCCAAAGTTAAGTTGTTCTTTTCCTCTCAATCCATAGCACTAGACTAGAGTAATTATTTTTTAGAAGGTGGGGATGTTGGAAAAAGGCAGTGGCAAAAAAACCATTTCTATATCATGCCTAGAAAATGGCACAGATGTTCCAGAGAAGTCACCTCAGATCAAGTTTTGACTTGAAAGTGATTTTTATTTTTTAAAAATCGGATTCTTCAATAAAATGCTGGAAATAACGTGATGAAAATTAGCCTAGCCAAGCAAAACATATTCAAGTATTCTTTGGATCCTTTGACAAAGATAGCTTTAGACTGGGTATGTACTACCATTTCTTGGCTAAGGGCTGCATTAAGTCTTTATGTAACATGGGCAGGACAAGAAAAATAATAAATTTGATTTACTTTTAGTTAGATTATATTTCTTTACTTGAAAACAATGGCCACATTTCTTGTCTGCAAATTTATTCTTAGAGAATTTATCCTTCTGACACATCTGAACTTAAAATTTGTCAGTGTTGTTCACAGAGGCTATATGAACCGCTTTGCAGGTGTGAAAAATTGTACGCAGTACTATAGTGCAACCTTCTAAAATTATGAATGTGTGCAACCTCCATGAGAAAAATGTAAATAATAGAGAAGTTGCCTGTGATTGGTTTTGACAAATAGCTAAAAAAGTCTTAGCTGTGACATACACCCCTTTTGGAAAACCCCTGGGCAATGATGTTGACAAGTGTGTACTAAGAAATAGATTACACTGTTAATGTCAGATGAGGATTCTGTTTTGTTTTGAAACCATTCTCATCTGTAGCAAATATAAATTCTACAACACCAGCTAATAATTAGTACAGTGTTTGTAAAGATAAGGTCTAAGATACAGCGTGTAGCCTAGGATAGCGGTCCCCAACCTTTGTGGCTGGGGGGGAGAGGG